AAAAGTGTATTTTGAGCAGATTTTGTACATCTGCTACATCAGGAAAAACACCTGCTGAAAATTTTCAAGAGTTTCCCGGCACATAACTCTCTAAATTAATTCAGCATCTAAACGGCATATACATTTTATGATATTGTAAGTGAGAGTAATCTTGTTTAGTTTGCCTTTTCATGCAAAGACACAATTCATTTAGTATGTCAGTGCACTGCAAAAGCAACTTAACCTGCCACTCAGTGACTAAAATGCCAGATAGAGATAAATATTCTGGGAAATTAAACATTATTTTTCTTCCCTTCATTATCTGAAAAGGCACAATGAAGGCAAAAAAGCATTATAAGCAAAATATTTAGAAAAACATCTCCTTAGCACTTCAGCAGACAATAACACCAGGCAGGCAATTTATATTAAGTGGGAAAACGGCTACTGACTCTGTTAGAGTCTTTGGTACATTTTCAGAAAAAGTGCTTTGCTCCGTAGATTAAGTGTTTTGAACGTCACTGGCTAGAACACTATATAGCACCAGGCTCATACAAAGCCATTTGTACAGCATTTCTCTTGACAAAACAAGTAGCTGTCAAAAGTTGACCATTTTAAACTAACACCAATAGTGTTTAGCATGTGCCTGCCTCTAACCTCATTTATGAGGCTTCTTCTCTACCGCAGGATTCTGTATTTGCTCTCCCGTTTTCGTATTACCAACGCAAGCTGTGTACCACCTCAAAGCAGCCAACTTTCTCTAGGTTGGCTGCAGACAAGTCACTTATTGGAACTTTAAGCATTTCAAAGTAGCTTAAAATTATTATCTTCAACACTTTCTGCTCCCTGCAAGTGCTCCGTTGCTTTCTTGGAGCATATTTCCTTTGCGACAGAGCACACAGATGCCTGCCTGGGGAAGATCTGGTTCACTTGTCCTGGTAAAGGGGCTTGAAGACCTAGCTAGGCTCTAGGTCATTACTTTTGAAGGGGTTTTTTTGAGTGGGTTTTTGGTTTTTTTAGTAATTTTAATTGGGTAATGGAGGAACAGCGTGCTGCTTTTTCAGGTTTCCGAATGCCTGCCTTACCCATCTGGACGGGCGGCCACTGATGCACAGCTAGAGAGTGCCACCGCGTGGCTAGAGGCTCTCTCGGCTGGCAAGCTCCATAGCTTTGTCCTGCAAAAAATGAAGCATTAAGATTGAACGGATTAGGTCCTGAAAAAAACAACACGAAGTGGGCTTAACTTCGCTGAGGAGGTCAAAGTTGCAAAAATGAGGACATGAGAAAGCAGTGGAGCTCTTACTCTCGTAAAAGAGTCTAATGGATACCTGATGACCAGGAATCCTGTGTGCCAGTTTCTACTCCAGATACCGTATTTTATGCAGAGGTGCTTAACGCAAGCCTTCCGGAGTACAGGTGATGGAGCCCTGCCTTCCTTTACTCCAGAGTGAATTCCTTAGCCACAAGAGGACAAGGCTACCCTCACTTTTGCACACACCCAGAGAGCACGCAGAGTTGGGCATGACTTTTCACCTAATCAGGAGAGAAGGACAGGCCCCTAACCTGCTGAGTAGGATACTCTCTATTTTCCTCTTCGGAAATGTGAGTTTCTACAGGCTGAGGAAAAGCACAGGGGTTTAGGTGACTCCTTTCCAGTAATTAAGTATTCCATACTTAATGATAGCATCACTACCATTCCCTTCTCTCTAATGCCATTTAAAAATGAAGGGGCACTTGGCAACATATGTCATCCCTAGATGAGAAACCACCACAAGTATCTGGCTCTGTACCTGACAAGGGTCTAGGTACATAGCTGCTCACAGGCACCATGCCTTCCTGGAAGCAGAACCTAGTTATTTCAAATCAAGCAGAAATACCTGCAGTGTGTTATTGCCTGCAGAGCTTTTAACAGCTCAGCAGGGCTTTTTGGGCTCATTAAAAGTATCAAAGTTTTGCTACTGATGAGCTATATAACTAGTTCTGTGTAGAAGCCCTCCAAATCTATACCTGCTTCCTATGTATTAAATGATAAATTAAAAAAAAAACATCCCATCCCTCACTGTTTTTTCTAACAGACAGACTCTGCAGAGGTATAAATACCCTATCTAGGAAGCATCTAGACTCCATGCTGTTCTGCTTTTTTGCTTCATTAAACTCGAAGAATGTTCTACCAGTTATCTAGCCAAAATTGATCATTTACTTAACAGCTATGCAAAAACAGATTTTTATAAGATCTCAAATAATCAGACTTCTATTTATGAAGACTTGCACCAGGAAGCACACCAGGTAAGATTCATCTCACTCATCTGTAGAATTCTACATTGTGGACAGTTGACTGTTCTTTGATGCTGAAGAGACTAGGGGCATTTGACAGGCATTTCCTGAAGGGAAGATTAATCCTACCACTCCCGATTGAAGGGAACAGAACTTAACAGTCAAATCCTTTAGCCCAGGTTCAGTTCCTCCCAGGATTTGTGAATTCCAACTTTGCTGTCAAAGCACATTGCATTTCTTATCGCAGAATCCTAAAATGACATTGTGCTTCCTGATACATTTAAAGGTCTAACAGCTTTTGAAGCAGTATTTTAAAACCTAAAATTCCATTTATGTATCTAATAGGAATGCAGTTCTTTGAAATTCTATGCCTATGACTCACTTTAACCACACTAAGTAGGAAAACACTGAATTCCTGTGTCAGAGCAAGGAGAAAATTCAGGTACTGCCTTTTTAAAAGCAGTATTGTATGCTGTTCAACTGGCTTGAAGGGAATGACCAAGAAATTCAATATGTTACTGCCCAAGCACAATTTAACATTAAAGGGTGAATTTATAAAGGACTGCATTGCTATGAAAGCAAAAATTCTATGGAATCAAGGCAACAAGATGAAGTAGCAAGAAAGAACATAGGTCTTATCAGCAGAATTGAATTCTAGATTAGGAAGTGCAGCTTCCCTTCCCAGAACACAGAGAGAGCCTGTGATTACAGCAATCAGAAGCAGAGAGGTTATAAAATTATCTCATCTGAAAGCCAAATGAAAGGGAAAATAGACTGCCAAGCACTGAAAAGGAAATTAATGAACAGAGACACACATCCACAGTTTTCCCAGCTCTGCAGAGATCATACAGGACTTCTGTTGAGTCTTCAGGTCAAGAAAATGAAGATGGTATGGGATAATTAATTTCTCATGCTTATTGGGGCAATATGACACCAGTCCAAATCTGAGTCTGCAAGGTAAATTCCTAAGATACCCCAACAGTAAAGCTTTCAACATTAATGCTTAGTTCAAGTCTGATTGTGAGTGTCCAAAAAAAAAATCATGTGCAGAATTGTTTTGAGCAGTACACACATTTCTACAATCAAGACAGAGTTCTGATTCACTACCCAACATAAAGTTTTCTTATTTTTGAAAAACAAAGTGCTGAAATATCTTAAGGTATATATATTTACAAGCAGGGCACTATCATGTTCGTTATTTTTAGCTATCTATTCCTCAGCATGAAACTGAAAACACAGGAGCACATAAGTTCTCTCTTGACACTGTAAAGAGAAAACAAACCAAGAAAATGCTTACTGTGCAAGGAGCCTTCTAGAAAGAGAAAATGGAAAGTGTTTAAGCTAAAAGGTGCAGAGCTGAAGCCCCATTTTCTAGACCTTTAGGCCAAGTCCAGGGCTGCAGGCAGTTACGTTGTCTACCTAAGTCGTCAAATCTGCTCTTCAAGGTAGTTGACAGGTCACAGTTTTCATGATAGTGGCAACTGTTATATAGACTAGTGTTTACAGCACTCACCAAGGAAGAGGATTCACTTCCCATCTCCCTGGAGAGTATCCTAAGTGTCAGCCTATCCAGATTATATGAAGTATCCTCTCTCCCTCTAGGGAAGAAGTCAAAAAACTAATGAAAAATTCCCAAAGACAAAAGTCAGATACCTGAATGTGTATATGGAAAGTATTCAAAGTGTGCATGGTGAATGACAGATTTTAGGAAGAGATTCTTAGGCAAAGAACCAAAGCAATGAGAGTACGTAGCTACACAGGAAAAAAAAAAGTTGGGTCTTTGCACCTTTCCCCAGGTTTAACAGTAACGCAAATAAAATATAATATGTAGACAACAACCCCTAGCTGGTTTCTGAGACTGTGTTCATCTTTCAAAGACACTTTCATACTTCCATTCTTTGTAATGTCTCTTAAAAATAAACTAGCAGTTCCTGTATGAAGTTGTTAGAGGATGAAAAGGCATCATTTCGAAATGTATCTGAATATTTAATTGCAGGATTTTCAGACTTTAAGGCATTGACATTCCTTCTCAAAATATACAGAGTGATCCAATATGCAATTTCTACCATAGCTTTGGTATGAAAATGTTTTGAGGAACAAAGATTTAGAACTATCAAAATTAACAATCTAGAATTTTTGTGACTAAAGTGTAGTAGTACAATTTTCTGAACATAATGCAGTTATATGTAAGACAGTAGGAAATGCTGTAAATAAGTCATTGCAGACAATACCGACAGTTCTGAAAAGGCTTAGTTAAAAAAACAAAACACATAATTTATCTTTGGAAAGAGGGCCTTCACATGACCACTGAAATCCACAAAATTACAACTTGCATATTACTAGAGACTTCAGTTCTGGAAACCAGTTAGCTGCTACAATATGTACACATAAGTGTTTTCAGGAATTAGAAGATAAATCTTAAGTAGTGCCTATAACTACTGGAGTAGATGAATTTGATAGAAAATGAGGGGTGATGTCTGGGGAACTGGATCAAACCAATTCTCAAATACCAAACCTAACATGCTTGTGCACATATTTTTATGACATCAAGTAAATAAAGTAGAGCTAGGTCATACAAGAACTAGGTCGTACAGAGAAAGCTACAATTTGTATGGAGTGGTTTTTCTCTATAACGCTTTATTAAATATTTTTCATTACATCTATGCATTTGTCATTTTCTGGTATCCAGCTAGATAGAAACAGAGCACAAAGAAAAAGTTAGTTAAAAAAGATTGTTAGGTTTTGGTTTTAGTTCACAGGCTAATCCATAAACAACAAGTACAAGAGTGCATATCTTTGAGACAATGAAATGTAGCTCACTGTCATATAAACTGGTAATTTAGTCTGAGGTTATGAACTCCGGCTTACAGTACATGCATAATGAGACACTGAATGCATTCTGTGTCCTCCTGCAACGCCAGTGCAATATTTCCCTAGGAATTTCTGTGGTTGTTAGACTGCATTTTCCAAAGATGGTTATGAACTCTTATAACACTGATCAGGAGCTAGATTTATTCTCCTAACATTCAGTTCAGTTGCAAAGGTTCTTGCCTTTTGATAGAAGAATAGAGACATTTCCCGATCCACAAGGAAGTTATGGTAGATGATTGCAAGTCTTGTGTAAATCTTCAGTTGAGCTTTTTTATTGCCCAGGTCCATGGCAGCAGCAAGTGCCAAATGATAATAGCCTGCTGCATCAAAGGGGTCCTGAAATAACAGACACAAAGATAGTACCTTCTATAGCACAACCGGTGTAAGAGGACATCCAAGCTCAGTTTATTAGGTATCAAATGAGAATAACATAGATTCTGAACTTCAGTAGGTTTTCCTACTTTATTATTTACATTCTAAATGCATAAAAACAGAACGTGGTAAAACCTGATGTTATGAAACATTACTTAATGTAATGATCTTCTGCAGCAGTTTTTTTCTATTTCTTACCTTAAGGTCATAGAATATAATGTCTCCTAAGATCAAGTACACTTTGACGTAATACAGTGTTTCCTCCTCAAATTCCAAAGGAGAGGAACAGAGGGACAAGGCCTTTAAATAGAAGTGTTCAGCTAGTTCACAGTGCCCCAAATGATGATGGATGGCAGCCAGACGATGGTAAGCTATTCGTTCATTTAGCTGATTTCCTAATGAGATAATGTATGAGTCAGGATAAAACCAGAGACAAAGTAGTCAAATTGTCTCAAACCAGAATACATCTTTGCTAATTTTGCTTCACTTCTACATGGTATTTGCTGATCCTTTATTAAATAAAATTGTGCTCAAGAGATACATGGCCAAAACCTGCCCTTTAAGAAAAATCCCACAGAATTCCTGAATATCCCAGTGTAGGATTTGACCGTGTCTGGGATTTTCTTAAGAAATAACTACATTCATATCTCTCATGTATAGATATACATACCCTGTGCATACTTAGAAAGAATACAAATAGATTATTTTGAAAGTATAGTAGCTGATGGGATTGAAGACTCCCTTGCCCCTCACAGTACATACTTTACATCAAAAGTTATGACAATGAGAAGATTTTCAGACTGATCAAAATGACCTGTCTGTGCATGTATGCAGGGGTGAGAGGGTTCTTAATCAGTTGAACAGCTCTCAAAGTCAAAGAATAGTCATTTTGGAAAGTAGCCCTATTGTCTTTGACTACTTTTTCCTGGGTCGATTCACCAGCAAGGCTATGATCAAATCTGAAAGAAATCTATGACACTCAAAAGCCTCTTTCAGTTATGAAAAGGTTTTCATATGAAAAGGTTTTCCATATGATCTTGGAGTTAGAAAAGACAGCAATGAAGTTGTTTATTCTTGAATGGAAGCAAAAATAGCAATGGTAGTATCATTATGAATTCCTGGGAAGAAATTTAACTGACTTCAAAGGAAGAAAGCTTTTTAGAATTCTGACTTATTTTGGACATATCAGTAATGTTCATCTGTAATTAAAATTGGTCTTACCTAAACTTACACTGAGCATAAGAGATGTTCTTGCATATTCCAGACTTTCCTCATAAGCCTTCAGATTCACCAGCAATTCCACCAGTTTATTGCATAATCTGAGTTCAGTGGTTTTGTTGCCAATCTTAACAGCAAGTGGAAGAGCCCTGTCCTGAAATGCGTAAAAACAGCTCAGGTACTGCTGAATCCCAAGGTGTGCACAGGTTAACATTTATGTCATGTCAAGCAATTTCTGGTTTTATTTTGCTCTTTGCATAAGGTATTTTTTACACCCAGGAGTCACAACAGGTGAAGCATCTTAACACCATGACAGAGTACTCAGCTGCAATAGGTTATAAACTGTTTGCTGAGAGGATCAGCTTTTGGTTCAGCATTTGTAGGATGCCTGCTATGATGGGAGGCTACATAACTATCAATGCAGCAGAAAAATTTCACAAACCCTGTAGAAAGTCACTGCTTTCTCCTTTTCCCAAGTACCATTGAAAAATATGTCTCCAGCAGCTTCAAACAACTCCATTCCTAAATTTGGATCTCCTGTGTAAAGAGCAGCATCCTGAGCAACCTGAAAAGAAAGCAAGGAATGGGGAAAGAAAGAAAAGTCTTGGTTACTTCTTGGTAAAAAAAGCATAAATATTAGCAACTGAAGAAAAGATCTTAAAGCCTCTCATTAGAAGATAGGAAAGGCTGTATTTTAGACCGTGTTCTGTCTTTTTGGTACCCTGGTTTTGAGCAGGCCAGTGGCAGATGATGGAGGAACGTAAGGACCTGGGTACATAGTGCTATGGTCTCCCTTTTTCTGGCAATAGTACCCTGCTACCTTTGTCAGCACATGGCGCTCTAAAAAGCAGTAGTGCATTTGATAGATGCAACACATTAAATTTCAATTAAATTACACTTATCATAGAAATAAATTCTAATTGCAAGTTAAATATTGCTAACTGCAGATTTAAAGACTGTGAAGTGAATTCTGTAAATAAATGCAGTTCCTTTATCTTGTTATTCTGAATTCAATATATATGTCATGTTAGCAAAAAGGACTTCATGAAAGGCAGCGTGCATCCTCCCCAGAGCGAGGGTACCAGGATACTCAGTTACTGGTAGGATAAGTAGTAATGAGAAAGGGGACTTGGCACATGCAGCAAGTTGAAGAATCTTGCTTTGGTTTTAGGATCTTTAGTTTCCAAGTTGCATTCAATTAATACAAGTCCATCTCCACTTAAGCACACAGGCAGCAATCCTTTAAGCCTGTTTTGGCCTCAGGCACCTAAGGACTATTGCATCACATTTTTGGAAGTTTTTTTGCATGCAAGTTAAGATGTGATGACTTGCACAAATTACTGGCACAACAGTCAACATTTTAGTGGGCAGATTCCTGCTTTGAGGCTTTTCTCATGGAGAGGCATCAACTGCTCCAAATATCAGGTTCATACATGCACGGTATGGAATACACATGCATGTCCCTGGCCCATTCCTCGTCTTGGAGGAAATAAAGCAGATGGAGAAAATCATCTCACACAGATTTGGCTTTGGTACCACCAGGTGAGTGACTTGGGGGCTATCAGCTAAAATCATTTAGTAAAAGAAAAAGAAATAACAGGCCTATAAAACAGTCATTTTCTGTAAGCACATTCATTCAGTTTTCCTAGTAAATATTAAAAAAAAATCTAATTTGAGAAAAAAAAAATCATTGATGTAGCCCCCACATATTGTGTCTGAGTACATTTCAAACATTAACATGTTTCATATGTTTTCCTGCTTCTTTGAAGAATTTTTCAAAACATCTTAACAACAGATGTGTGATTATTTTATTTATAGATCGTGTTTTGGCACCACTCACACACCAGCCAAGGCTCAGATCTTACTATGTCAGGTTCTCCACACAGCCTGCACTACAAGGCAGCACTGTGCCTTACGATGGGAGAGAAGTATTTTTAACCCCTTTACAAAAGCAAGAAACTAATTCCCCAACTACTTCGGTGAACAGCTAGAAGCCGTACAGACGGCAGAGTCAGATCTGGGCTGCCGCACAGCTCTGAGAAAGACTCCAGATCAGCCGGGTAAGGGCTAGATCCCTGTTTCAGGTCATCTTTCGGCAGCAGAAGCAGCAGCGGGTCCCGGCTGGTCGCGGGGGGTGCGAGGTGTGCGAGCCACGTGCCTCCCCTCTCACGGCTGCAAAGGCGGCAGCAGCTCCAGCTGGCTCCGTGCTGTGCCGTGCAGAGCCACGGAAGGAAGGCTTCAGGTGCTTTAGAAACGCTTCCTGAAAAAGCTACTGTTTTCTGAGGGGTCTGGCCCACGAGCCAGCATGCTAAGATTGTCGTCTGTTATCTCCCAGCACGTAGCATGCGTACATGGTTTGATTGCTGTGGTGCTGTAGGGCACAGACGGTGAAGGAAAACACAGAATTTACAACAGAGCAGGCACTAATAAAGGTCACTACCCAAAAATCTTTCCAGAGTCAAGCAACAGGTTAAAATGGAGAACCACTGGAAAACCCTGAGACTTTCAGCTGTTAAGCATTACATAACCTCTATGTTCAGAACACCAGTTAGCAAAATGTCTGGGATCATTATATTGAATTACTTACTCTTCCCATGCCACCTGCACCATGTGGGCAACCTGCATGCCTGTAAGCGTTAACGTACCTGAATATAGAGATCCACAAGCTCATTCTGCCTCAGAATGTAATATATCTTTCCTGCCCGTAGCCAAGCATATGCCTCCTTCTCTTTTTTCTGGAGATCTATAAATATTCCAAGGCTTCTTTTGGTATATTCCAGAGCCGACCTGTAAGCCCTGAAACAGGGGAAAACTGCTAATCACTGAGGGGTCCTTCAGAATTGGGAATGTTTTTCTTCATAATGAAAAAAGCTTTATGTTAATGTAAAGAACAACTTGTTTCCTTTATTCAATGCACAATAATAATTTCTCAGCTATATTCTATTAGTAACTAGCAAATTTGTTCATTTTCCTCTTTTTTTTTTTTGTTCAATCTATGTTTCCTATTAGATAGTCGCTGTGTTCTTTTATTTCAGGATAATTTATTTTAGATTTATCCTTCCCCCACACCTCAGGCTAGTGACAGGTGGAAACTACAATCTTTCCTCACCTTTAGCTCTTTATAATTTATCATTATCTTTAATGATTATCATTTGTGGATTGTTTTACCTACAAACCTCAGAAAGAAATTGTGTCTGTACATATTTTTTTCCTAACTATCACCTAGGCCTCAGACTTAAGCACAGTTCAAACTAATCAGTATTTGCAGAAAATCTTGGAGGGACAACTGACAAGATGTGATCAGTTCTGGAAGGACCCAAATTATCAGATCACTGGGCAGTGCAATTTTCTTTAATTGTAAGGGCACTGTACTTTCGGAAGAGTGGTCATACTTTTCATTAGAAAGACCTGTCAGATTGATTGAGCTTATGGTGCATTCTACCAGACATAGAAGCCCCAGGCTTCCTTATTAAATCCTTCTCTGTTTTGCGATAGACTCCCATCACCTTGACCTGGTGCATTTTCCTCCAAGCACAAGACAAACATATTAAAATTATTAATATTAAAATGCAGTTATTGCAGTCAATCTTTACACAGTGCATCTTCAGAACAGCCCACTTAAACCTCCAGAAAGATGCAAAACAAATCTAGAAGTGATACGTTCCCTAGTATTTCACACTATCAAGACCCCACCTCTGTCTCAACAAGGTATCTCATCTGAGGGGGGGCTTATGTTTTTACCACTTCCCGATTCTCACAGAAATTGAAGAGACCTGTCACTCCTTTTATACTCATGAGAGGAAGTAAAGATCCACTGAACAAGCCTGACGTTTCAGTCTTGTCTTCTTTGCTAACAAGCTGCTAATATGAGGAAAGGCAAGATAGTTAAAGTAGCCCAGCTCAGACCAGTTACTGAATGCCACTTCCATCCCCCCTCCTGAGTTTTTGCTTTTACCATAACTCGGCACAGCAGCTGGAACGGGTCAGGCTGTGTCCCTTGGCATGGCCACAGCAATTTAGTGACACCAAGGACATCACTGTTTTTATTACTTCATCATAGACACATACCCTTGTTACTTGGGACTGTTAACTCAAAGAATATTGTGATACTACCGTCTAATATCATACTGAGTATGTGCCATTAGCCGGTAGCCTGCTAAGGGCACACAGCCAGCATTATTTGGGAGCGATAGGTGAGGAGCAGGGAGTTTTATTCATTTGTCCCTTCCAACTCAAGGCTTTCTATGACCAGTTACATGCACTCTATGCAAAGCAGAAGCTTCTACAGCTAGTGAAATCCTGCAGATTCTAGGTGGTTTGGCACCTTAACCAACTCCTTTGTCTTCCACCTCTCCAAAGGATTTTCACCATCTCATTAAACAAAGTGAATAAAGCAAATTAGGTGAAATATTAAGAAAGTTAGGTACTTGGACTGCAGCCACTTAAAGCCAAAATAAGCATCTACTCTCTTTCCACAGCTGAGGATATTTTTTCCATCCTTACTGAGGCATGCTTGAAATACCTGAATCTAAAGTGACTCCCTGAAGTGAGATACAGTAAGAAAAAAGTCAGACAAAGCTTCCTTAAAAAACATTTTAAAAACTCTCTAGAGAAACCTATAAGTTTCCTCAGCGCCTGTTAGTTAGTATAAATTAACTTGTGCAGTCTTTTTTTTTTTCAATCAAGCAAAGCAAAAAAATTGGTATTCTGAAATTAAAAGTAGTATAGAAATTGCTGGAGACTGACACTATGCAGTTTTGCAGATAGGTTTTATGCTCATATAAGTTTTGAAAAAAGCATTTCTTCAGAGACACTTACACAGAGGCAGTTTGATATCTGACCTGTTTCGATATGTCATTTGGTTTCTAATGGAAAAACTGTTTTGTAAAAATGTATCACAAAGTCACCTGCCAGCAAAAAACCCAGACCTATAGCAGTCATCAAGAGTTGCATAACATATAATAAATGTATTTACACATATTTTTAAAAATAATTTGGCTCTTCAAGTGGTGCTAATCCCTGCTG